TTCTCACGCACGTAATTTCATCTATACTTCATTAAACCTTATAAAATTCATGGAATTTCATCTAATTGTCACCATTTTACAAGTTTAGACATTAAGTTCAGAAGACTAAGTTATTTAAATGTGTTGACTAGAACTACATTTCCAGGAATTTTTTTCCTCTATATGGTTACAGGTTAAGATTTGCCCCAAGCAAAATCTGTTTAAGATTTGGGGACACAAATCAAGCAGTAGCCATTTCATTCCACGGGTTATCACTGGTTAGATGTAGTGAAGGACAGACAAACGGTGTGGGCAAAATTTCAATTTGCCCTGACACACCCCACTCCACCTCTCACTTACAACTACCAGGCCCAAACCTATCACCAGATACTTCACTGAAAACTAATAAAGGTGAAAGCTGGGAAGAACCAACAACCTACCAGCCCCCGTCACAGTTTGACTCTGAAGTTGGACATGCCCACCTGAAAGGTTCAACTTATTAACTACAGTAGAGCAGGTTAACTGATTTTGATTTTTCTCTGATTTTTTTTTGAACCTTCATATCCCTAATTTTCCCTACAATTAAGATTTAATTCCTAAATTCCTTATTTCTTCTTCTTTTTTTTTTTTTTTTTGAAAAAAAACACTCAAGCCATCCCCCTAGGTAGAGTGCCGTGGCATCACAGCTCACAGCAACCTTCTACTCCTGGGCTCAAGTGAGTCTCCTGCCTCAGCCTCCCAAGTAGCTGGGACCACAGGCACCCGCCACAGCGCCTGGCTATTTTTTGGTTGCAGCCATTATTGTTGTTTGGCGGGCCTGGGCTGGATTCGAACCCACCACCTTAGGTGTATGTGGCTGGTGCCTTAGCCACTTGAGCCACAGGCGCCGAGCCTCCTTATTTCTTTTTACATTTTTTCCAGTACTTTTTAAATTTTCCAAATAATATGAAGATATAAATGATAAGGTTACATTGTTTGCATTTCTAAGATAAAGTTCAAGTTGTAGTTGAGCCCTTCAGCCAGGGCGTGTGCTGTATACTCTGACACTGTGCACAGTGAGAGTTTACCAATCGCCCACCCTGTTTCTCACAGAATCCTAACTGGTACAGCAAGGTTACAGCCTGTGGCAAAACTCCAACAAAAGGGTGATTTTGTGAGTACACTGGCCACAGCAAAGTTATAGCCTGTGGCAAACTTAAACATAAACTAAGTTTACTCTGATGCTAAATCTGGGAGACCACACATTTCTTTAAAAGTAGAAGGTGGCAATTTAGGGTAATCCTTTAGGAGTTTTAAGATTTTATCACTAATAACATACATGTTTCATTTACCTATCATACATGAATATATGGCCAAGTTTAATCACAAAATTAAGTTGCCTTCCTTTATTGCAAGGTTAATTATTTCCTTTTAAACATTTACACAAATCTTTCAGAAGATTTATAATCCAGGTATAAAGATCTATATAAAAATTATGAAACCCTAAAATTTTAAATTGAGATCAGAGTTCAGCAAAGAGAGTAAATTCTCTTCTCAACTAGTTAAGAACTATTTGTAGAATATGTATAATTCTGAAATAACCTTAAACAATGCCAAACAGGATACTTAACAGAAGTCCTGATGGTAACAGTGAAAAAAAGGAGCAAAGAGACTTAGTGCTTATTCCTGGAAGTGGACCCTCATACGCACAAATGATGAGCGTTGTTATAAAGAGGCCGGGCATGGTGGCTCACACGGGTAATCCTTAGTACTCTGGGAGGCCAAGGTGGGTAGATAGCTTGAGCTCACAAGTTCAAGACCAGCCTGAGCAAAAGCGAGACCCCATCTCTACTAAAAATAGAGGCAAGAGGATCACTTGAGCTGAGTTGGATGTTGCTGGGAGCTGTGATACCACAGCGCTCTACATGTCCATCACAGTGACAGACTGAGACTCTGTCTCAAATAATAAAAAAATAAATAAAAATGGGCTGGCTGCAGCCATCAGCTCAGTCAGACCGCCCTATCCCATCTTTTGTCTCTTTGTTTTCTCTTGTGCTGTATTTTTCTCAATTCCCACCAATTCCACTCTGGTTCGCTCCCCTTCCCTACGCTGGCTCCCAACAGGTGGCACCCTGAACAAGGACCATAGAGAGTACGGAACAGTAGGAAGGAATCCCCCATGAGAAGGAAGAAGTGAAACTGTGCAGCTGAACAGTCCTTATTGGCTTCCTGAATGAGGATTTACAGATTACAAAGTGGCATCACCTTCACCCACTGAATACTTCCTTGTGCTTTTCCTTCTGTCCACCATAAATCAGCTCTTTGGATAGAATGTTGTTATAACTCTCCAGTTCACATCAAAGGAGATGATCAGAAACCATGGAACTGGTCCAGAAGACTACCTGCCTCTTACAACGCTAATGATTAAGTCACTGCTAGAGAATTGATTCTAAATACTTTAACAACAGAATCAGGAGTTATCCAGAAAGATCTCTGACACTTTGCAGCAGCCCTTCAACCAGTGGAAGTCCTGGAGCCCACTAATGAAGTAATGCAAAATGGCTCTCGAACTTTACATTATGTTATGGGTTGTGTTCCACCTCCCAGACTTACTAGTTGGTAATATTTCCATAACCAAAATTGAACATGGGTTATCTTTAAATTGCTTGAATTGTAATTTGTCTAACTGTGTTACCATGTTATTAGTATCATGTTAATCCATTTGATCCTATTTTTGTAATTAAACAGCCTTTTTTGTTATGTTACTTGTAAATTTAACTCAACCATGGCATAATGAATCAAGTATACAGACTTTAATTGAACTTAGTAAGTATTTACACCTTGGTATAACTCGTAAGAAAAATACATATATAAGTATGGTCACAGCAGGCATTACAACATTAGTTGCCATAGTAACCAATGCTGCTACTTCAGCTATGACTCTAATCATTTACAAGAAATATGGTCCCATAATGATAATAGTTTTGATATAGTAAAACGTCATCAAGAAATTCAAACTATGCATAAAACTCATCTAAATGTTCATGGTCCTGTTCAACTTGCTATAGACATTTTTAACAAAATACAGTTGTAATCCTTCAGAAAAAATTGTGAACATCTAGCAATTGCATTAATTATGTTAGAAGCTTTAATATTTTTATTTTGTATCCTCCCAGTCTTCTGTAGAGTCAGAACCAAAAGATTCCTCTAATTAAAGGCAATCCATTCATAAATTAAAAGAAGGGAGGAGATGTGGAGAGCTGGTTGTGAGGCAGCAGGGCCCCCACAGCCCGGGGAACATTCAGGGAATGAACCCAACTGCTTGTCCGCTTTTCCCAAAACAACCATTTCCTTTCTTCATGTTCCCCCTGCCAGAAGTCAGGTAGCTCTTTCTTTGTCTAGTTAATTTCTAAGAACTATGCAGAGATCCTTGTGATCTTTCCCTTTGCACTTCTTATCATATGTCACAAAGTAAGAAACCATTAACAGGATTATTTTCTTTATTAAAGTCATTTACATTTTCCAATCATACTGTAAGACCAAAGATATCTCTTATGTCTGTCTATTCTACTTCCCCATAGACAACCCTGTACAGATTCTATAAAATAAAACTGACTGTGCTTTGGTGCTGGCTGCAGCCATAAGCTCAGTCAGACCTCCCGATACCAAAAAATAATAATAATAAAAATAAAAATAAAGAGCTCCTTAGAGCATAATAATAAAGCAACATAGTAAACGGTTACCTTACAAAGATTGTAACTATTTACAAAAAACAATTTTTAAAAATCCTCTATGTAAGGGCAGCGCCTGTGGTTCAAAGGAGTAGGGTGCTAGCCCCATATGACGGAGGTGGCAGGTTCAAACCCAGCCCCGGTCAAAAACTACAAAAAAAAAAAAAAACCCTTCTATGTAAGAGGCACATGGGCATAGCATAAAAGTTCCAGTGAAATGATCCTACATAGAATCAAACAACTAAGATGGAAAAACACAGATGTATTCTAGAGAAAAGGGCTCCAGTGATGACAGAGATGCTGATGATGCAAACTCTCAACAACAGTGTTCAAAGAAATGAGAAGTAAAAAAAGAAAAAAAAAAAGGCCAGGTGAGGTGGCTCTCGTCTATAACCCTCGCACTCTCAAGAGGCTGAGGTAGGTGGGTCAGCCTGTGCTCAGGAGTTCAAGACCAGCCTAAGCCACAACAAGACCTCATCTCTATTTAAAAAAAAAAAAGAAAAGAAAAGAAAAACAAGCCAGGGGTTATGACAGGCACCTGTAGTCTCAGCTACTTGGGAGGCTGAGATAAGAGGATCACTTGAGCCCAAGGGTTTGAGGTTGTTCTGAGCAGTGATGCCAGAGCACTCTACCCAGGGCAACAGAGTCTCAAAAATAAAAAATAGCTCAAAATTATTTCACATAGTATGTGATTATGAAATGTGTAAGTATAAATCTGACTTCTTTCATAAGCTTTTTGTATCAAAAGTTGGCCAAGAAGCTTTCAATGATATCCTCTCTTTGGAAGAATGTGAACTGCCTTGAATTTAGAAGTCAGTCATAAATAGTATTTGATTGATTCTCCGCAGCCACTCAATACTGGCTGCAGGTCTGAGGTGGATTCTAAAACCACAACACACTACTCTATGAAAGTACTGTAATCAGCTATTGAGTTCATTATAATCAGTTACTGAGTCTTGTAATAAACATTAACACCTTTTCAAAAATTACTGTATACTCAGAGAGCTACTTGGTATGACAAGAAAAAGAAACAGGAATCAAGAGACCTAGATTCTCATCAAGTATTACCATTAAATAGCAAGTAACTGTGAATTTCACCCTCATCTTAATAAAGTAACTGTGTATTTCACCCTAGTCATAATAAAATATGGATATTAGTTCAAGGATTCATTTCTGGAATCAAAGGAAGATAGTTTAAAAGATCAAAGAAAGCAGCCCTGTGAATAGGGTTATAAAAATGTTCATATTTAAAAGCTGTACTTTATTAATGTACACTTAAAAATATTGTATTTAAACTTTTTATTAGTCCTAACTTCTTTACTTCAATTTTGACTTTTCACTTGCCAGGTTTTTTTAATTCTCTTTTGCATTAAACAAATACATTTTACCATTAAAGGTGCTGCAGCAGTATAAGAGACAAGAACAGGAGTGGGATGTTCAGGCCAGGTTTATCGAAAGCAATAGCTACCGCCTGGGCAGGGCAAAGATGGTGTCTATGCCATCTTAAGAGACCCCTTTTACACAGGGAAGTAGGGGTGAGCAAATTCCACAGCTTGCCCAGAGGGCTTTGGTGGGTTAGGGTCACTTGGAGTGATTTTCTTTGGGGGTGGGGCTAACTAGGTCCTTTGTATTCATTGTTTCAGGAGGAGAGGAGAAGGTCAGAAGGGTTCTTGTAGGGCAACATTAGGCCCCCTAACATTCGCTACTCTTGTTAAAAGGGGTGATGAGGACGACAGTCAGTCTTTCAAAAGTGCTCCGGGCTGAACAGGGTCGTAGTTGTCCTCAGTGGGATGAGTCAGGTGTTGGCAGGACTGTAAGGATTTGGGGTACACTGGGAAAGGGTTTGGGGAGTTAACCCCCATCCATCTGGTGGGGCTAACTGGAAAGTAATAAAAGGATGAGCAAGATAACTTTATCTCCTAGAGAACTAAGAAACTGTGAAATACATAAAGGGGGATTGTATTTTATTTTTTATTTTAACGTGGAGATACAAGAGAGAATAGAGGTCTCTAAAATTTAGGAAGAACAGAAGCTGTGGCTTTGGTATTTATTAGAATTAATTTTTTTACCTGTGTTAGATAGTAAGTTACTTAAGGCCATCCTGGTGTGAAGGTGAGTCCATTTTCAAATCAGACATGTCAGTCAGGTATTAGCAATTCCTATGGGTCCATGGGTATGGAGGAGGGTGTCGATTTAGGACCTAGGAGGGTGTCCTATGGAGGAGGGTGCCACTGGTTCCAGAAGGCAAATGTAAATTTCCTGCTCCTAGGAGAGTATACTCTTCCTTCTAGTACCTTTCTTTTTTGCTGAGAGGTTAGGGTTCCAGGGTTCTTTTTTTTTTTAAGTGCGATGATTTTATTCACTGATAAACCGAAACCCCACTTTTAGATGTTTCTTTCTTGTGTAAGCTTCATTTGTGTTATCAGCAAGCCAAGCCCTATAAGAAAAAGCTTCACCTAGTCCTCAGATTCTGATCCATCTTCATCTTGATTAATCTGGAAGTAACGAAGTTCGTAAGTCTCCTTATCAGATGCAACCACTCGAAGCCAATCACGAAGATTGTTCTTCTTAAGGTATTTCTTGGTAAGGTATTTCAAGTACCTTTTAGAGAACTGTTTCTCAGAAACAACTGTGATTTTATTTTTGAGCGTTCAATGTGAACAACATTCCCAAGATTTCCAGTTTTTCCATTGACTTTAACCTTCTCCCGTAGAAACTGTTCAAAATTTCCAGAATCAAAAATTCCATCTTCTACTGGATGAGTAAGGTCCAAATTAAATTTCCAGGTTGACCTCTTGGGCTTCTTGTCTTTCTGACGCGCCATCTTGAAGGCTGCACGAACAGAAAGGGGGTTCCAGGGTTCTAGTGAAAGGTACCTCCTAGGCATTTTATTTTAGGGATCCAGAGTTGTAGTGGAAGGCAGGGCGCCATTCTGTAGAAGAGTGTGGGCTTTCTGAGTAACTATCTCTGGACAAGTTTTAAAGTGGCAGATATTTAGAAACTTTTCTGCTTTCGGCACTGTTTTCAGTCCCATTTTCTTTCTTTCTCTATCCTTTCTCCATCTCGGTTATTAAAAGACTATGGCTATGGCTCGGCACCTGTGGCTCAAGTGGCTAAGGCACCAGCTGCATACACCTAAGGTCGCGGGTTCGAGTCCAGCCTGGGCCCGCCAAACAACAATGATGGCTGCAACCAAAAAAAAAAAAAAAAAAAAAGCAGGCGTTGTGGCAGGCACCTGTGGTCCCAGCTACTTGGGAGGCGGAGGCAGGAGACTCACTTGAGCCCAGGAGTTGGAGGTTGCTGTGAGCTGTGATGTCACAGTACTCTACCCGGGGGACAGCTTGAGTCTCTGTCTCAAAAAAAAAAAAAAAAGACTATGGCTAGATCTAAAAGTTCTGCTTATGACTTTGCGGCTCTTTTAAAGTTTCTGGAGTTTATACCGAATACTGAGGCCAAATGTGAATATGCCCTGCCTGGGCATATTGCAAAGATATTGATCCCTTTCTGACATTAGGATTTAAGTTAGTAAAAAGTCAAAAAGGCTTTAGAAAGAAAAAAGATTGCATTTTTATCTTGGCAGGAATAGCTATCTGCCTATGCAGGGCAAAGATGGTGTCTGCACCCAAGGCAGAGCCCCTTTTATATAGGGCTGTAGGGGGAACAAATTCCACAGCTTGCCCAGAAGGCTTGGGTAGGTTAGGATACTTTGGCTCCAATTTTGGTGGTGGGGCTAACTAGGAGAAGAGGAGGAGGAAGGGAGAGGGTTCATGAAGGGTCACATTAGGCCTCCCAAAAGCCATGAATAAATCTATTTATAAGTTTTAAAGGCATTCAGTTCTTAGATCATTCTTACTAAAACAATCTTAATGTTTTCAAAGAACTCCTAAATCACAACACTAATAATAATGAATTTAAGAGCATACCAGATGTTACTGATTGTCTTCCTATGTCTATGACATAGGAAACCTGACACTTACATACTTAAATGTCTCCCTTAGTGGTTTAGGAATGAGCCCTGTGCTCTAATAAATTTGAGACAGAGTCTATTCAGTTGCCCTGGGTAGAGTGCCATGGCATCATAATTCATAGCAACATCAAATTCTTTGGGCTCAAGGGATCCTCTCACCTCAGCCTCCCGGGTAGCTAAGACTACAGGTACCCGCCACAATGCCCAGCTATTTTTTCATTGTAGTTGTCACTTGTTTGGCAGGCCCAGGCTGAATGTGAACCCCCCAGCTCAAGGGATCCTCTCACCTCAGCCTCCCGGGTAGCTAAGACTACAGGTACCCGCCACAATGCCCAGCTAGTTTTAGAGACAGTGGTCTCGCTTTTGCGCAGCCTGGTTTCAAACTCCTGGACTCAAGCAATCTACCTGCTTCAGCCTCCCAGAGTGCCAGATTATAGCATGAGTCACCACGCCTGGCCTATAAATTATAATTATACAGTGTGCCAAAGATCAAGGTCTAAGAGCTTCTTTTCCAATACTCTTGTTTATGCCTTTAGCATAAATTTCTCCCATTTCACCATAATCCTAAACTGACAAAAACTTAAACACTATAATGTAATTTTTCTAAGACAAAATTTTAAAATCTAAAGGGTAAATCTGACAATCATTTTTTTTTCTGAGACAGAATCTCAGTATGTTGCCCACAGTAGAGTACCATGGCATCACAGCTCACAGCAACCTCTAACTCTTAGGCTTAAGCTAATCTCTCGCCTCAGCCTCCCAAGTAGCTGGGACTACAGGTGCCCACACAATGCCTGGCTATTTTTTTGTTGCAGTTTCACTGTTGTTTGGCAGGCCCGGGCTGGGTTCGAACCCGCCAGCCCTGGTGTTATGTGGCTGGCACCTTAGCCGCTGAGCTACATACAGGCACCAAGCCTGACAACATAATTTTTGACATTAATTCAGTCTATAATCATTATAGAATTCTTTCAATATCAAAAGAGAATATATACTTCATATTTAGAGCAATACACATTGTTCCCGTAAGCTGACCCTTTACCTTGAGAGCTATCTTGAAAAGCCAAGTAAATAACTGTGAATCTTTTCTGTTTGCCTTCTCCTATTCATATTTAATAGTAGCGATTCTGAACTTGTGTTTGGTATTGCAGTTGTAAACCTCTTTCAAAGAGCTTTTCTCCATGCCTTATAGAGTACATCAAAACTATAAAAAATTCTGAGCTATCAAATTACCTCTATCTATGTGAAGTCGTATGGCTACATGTAAATTTATACTTCCTCTTGGAATTTACCCCTAGCTCTAACCAATGTTTAACTTTCCTTACCTGAATCCTTACAATCAGATCTCAATATTCTATTCAAGGTTAATATACAGAATGTATATTATCGTGAAAACAAAACTGTTCTATCTTCTATAACAGCAGATGTGTCCAACAATAAGAAAATCCACTAGAGAGTAAGTCTTCAGTGATAAACGAAGTTAGTATCTTTTACTATTTCTTAAGTCACTTTATTAAGGTACAACTGATATAGACAAAGCTATAGTGTCTTTTCTTTAAATAATGCCTAGTATTAAAAAACAAGGTGAAAAATACATATCAAATAAAATAGTGATGTTCTCTAATTTATTTTAAATTATTCCATTTATAAAACTAAACTCTGATTCAGAAATCTGAGAAAAACCATTTTGCTGAGAAAAACAAGTGTCACTGCTGACCAATTTTTCCCTGTTTTCTTCCATGTCAGTCTTCTTCAGACAAAGAAATAACAGTATATTTGGGAAGCATAGATGACTAAGTATAAAGTGGAATATGAATCACTAGATTTGGGGAACTAAAAATGTTTTCAATGAAAACACAGTTAATATTTACCATATACAACAATCGGGGGCTGGGCAAGGTACCTCATGCCTGTAATCCTGTAATCCGAGGTACCTCATGCCTATAATCCTCCTGGGGGAGGCTAAGGTAGGCAGGAGGATCTCTTGAGCTCAAGAGTTCAGCCTAAACAGAAGCAAGACCATGTCACTACTAAAGAAAAAGAAAAAGAAAATTAGCTAAGGTGTTGTGGCAAGTACCTACAGTCCAAGCTACTCGGGAAGCTGCAACAAGAGGATCACTTGAGCCAGAAGTTTGAGGTTGCTAGGCTGAAGCTAGGACACTCTAGCCTGGGCAATAGAGTCAGATTCTGTCTCAAAAAAGGAAAAAAAGAAAAATAATCAGGGAAAATTAAGGGTAGCGCCTGTGGCTCAGTGAGTAGGGCACTGGCCCCATATAGTGAGGGTGGTGGGTTCAAACCTGGCCCCAGCCACACTGCAACAAAAAATAGCTGGACATTGTGGAAGGCACCTGTAGTCCCAGCTACTCAGGAGACTGAGGCAAGAGAATCACCTAAGCCCAAGAGCTGGAGGTTGCTGTGAGCTGT